TAATTTATAATAAAAAAGCAAAATATATTAAGTGCTACTTTTAATTGCCAAAATTTTCAATCACAAGGAATATAAATAATACTACTAGTTTTGGTTCCAAATTAAGTATGGGAACTGTAAGCATCAAGGGTCTGAGTTTATCTTAACACACTACATACTTTCAATTTAACATGCAGACTTTAAAACCTGTACGTGTTTTAAATTATAAATTACAGAATTTCTGAGACAATGAGAACCTACAAAAAGTGGGCTACTCTTTTACCACTTTCCATTTAGTTTTATCAATGACAGTACCATTTAACTAGAAATCAACATTAGTAGATACCTACCAGTCAGGCATAATTACAGAAAACAGGAATTCCCAAAAATAGTCGCCATATCTTTCAGAAACTGTTTTAAAGCATCCTTTAATAAAGGTCTCTAAAACAGTTGATTTAAATATGTGCCTAAAAATTAAACAAGCCTGTCCATCACGTCCAATCTTTACTGGCTTATGTTCATTCCAAGGATTGGTCAGATGAGCTGACTTAGTGAAGGGTAATTCACGCCTAAATACAAAAAAAGTATAAATTATATTCTTTTGTAGAACCCTTTAAGGATGTTATACTACTTCAGTAGTGAATCAATGTTAACTGTGAGTTGACATGCATAAATTCTAAAGAATCACTTCCACTAGTAAGGTATAATTCTTTATAGAGCGCTCTTTCAATGTTTGGCTCTTTCTCAAAAAAAAAAAATCTAAGTAACTCCTTTACAGTGTTTCATTCCTGTGAATTCAAAGGTTAACTTGAAAATACTTTGTCAAAAAGGCATTTATTACATTAAACCTACCAAACATGGTTTAGCAACAAAGCAGAATGTGAAGCATGTTTATCTACGCTCCTGAATGTGTGACAGAGAGCTGCAGTTCACTGCCCTGCCCAGCATCTCAAGATTAATACTTCCTATCACCTACGAGTTTGGGAAAACATCAAAATTAAAAATCTGATGTAGCTTCTACAGAATGTCCAACTATCAAACTCACACAACTACAAATTCAAAAAGTCGAACCATCACAAGTTAGAGACCATTGGGGCTGAAGAGATGGCTCAGTAGTTAAGAGCACTGGCTGTTCC